GCTCTGACCGTTACCACCCACCTTTGGGAGAAAGACTCATCCCTGCTTGTGTTTTGGATAAGACAAAGAGATTGTGATGGAAAGAAAACACATTACGTATCTTCTTGTAATGGTTTTTAAACACCTTTATTTACCAGCAGTAACAATAACTTCCTGTTGGTATCAAGGCACCACCAGCTAAAGATAAAGGAATCTCTCAACCGATGGTGCATGGGGTCAGGAAATAATTCTCCTGCTCTTGCTGTCTAGCTGTGCATAATTGACCCAGTGAATTATGGAGGTGAAATGGGGAGATCACCATCTTCCAATGCTACAAGCACCATCTGGGCAGAAGACAAGGACCAACATCGTACAGTTCAGTACAACAAATACTGTTGTCTCTTTTAATACCCACAATATTTCAGCTGCAGAGACATCAACAAAAACCCAAAATACTTAACGCTAATGTAGATAAGTTTACTACATTTGCCAGGCTTTATCTCATCCTTGGCTAAGTTAAATTCTGACCAGTAGTGTAAATCCAGACTCTCTGTCTTGAAAATGTTTGCTGACAAATTGGAGAAGAAATTAACTCAATTGGATAAGTTTTATTTCTAGCCACCTTTACATGCTGAAATGCCATGAAACATACCTAACATGGCCAGTCCCTGATTGTCCCCCCTCTCCCTTCTTAGTTTCTAAAGATTGTTCAACTAGGTTCAGTTTATCACTGAATAGTTGGGGTTGGAAGTGATCCTTGGATATCGTCTAGTTCAGCACCAGGAGGAGATGGAGCAATTTTTTATGTCTAAGATGAACTACTAGAACTGAGGAGGTGGGAGCCAGCTACACTTTGCTGCTTTTGTTTGTGGTTAGTAAAGAGTAGGTTTCCTTGTCATATATCCCACACTTTGTTTAGAAAAGAAAAATGCTGACTGTCCAAAACAAAATTTCTGCCTTCCTATTCCTGTTAAATGTGATATCCTAAAACTCAGTGGCAGACAACAGTAGAATTATTGCTTCGTATACTGATGTACAAGCTTTTTCAAGCAAAAGGTAGGGGGTTCAGTGAGAAAGATTAGGTGTGGACTGCAGGAGATCATCTCTGCTTAATTTTGCTTTGCTTAAACCAAGTATTGACTGACATACAAGAAGATGCACATCTTGAGAGTTAACAAAGCCTGGTCCCGGAGATTATGACCCCAGATTCTCAAAATGTTTCCTACTTTTAGAAATGCAATTAGGTCCTTCACCTGAGGTAGCTATTCTCACAACCATATCTTCTGTACTTATATGACCTTTCCCAAGTCCATGTGTGGGGCGCAATGAAAGCCTGGGCTCCCTTTGTCTTCCTTGGAAGTCTAGGGAGGAGGGTAACCTCTAGACTTCCTCGCATTAAGCTTTTGAATTTGACCCCCTTGGATCCTGGAAAGCCCCTGAAACAAGTTTTGTGCTTCATCATCAGTATTTTTTTCACTGGGCATGTGAATTCCCTAACTATTGTACAACTGACAAGAGGAAATGACACAAATCTTGGCATTTTACAAGAAAAAGCTCCAAAGCCTTTCATGGTTTCACAATTGTGCCAACTTGCAGATGTTCAAAAGTGATGAATAAGACCCCCTAAAAATCATAACACTGATCAACTTAAAAATTGTTACTTTTTTTTCTTTTTCAGTGGTTAAATTTGTGGCTTCTTTTCACTTCTCTTGTGGTTTTCAAGTCTTCAGGGCTCAGGACTTGGTTCACATTTTCAACCTTTTTTTGTTCGCAGCAATTCATGTCTGGAAAGGTATTTCTTTTTTAACTGCAAGCTGTGATTTGCACACATAACAGCAGAACTCTGGGAGGAGTCATGGATCAACACAAAATATCCTGACACTCAAAGCAATTGCTGGAGTTGGTAATATGGATTCATTACTGCTGTTCTAGTGGCTTCTCGGAAATGAGTAAGTATATTTTTAAGGAAGTTAGAAATTTAAACAGAAAAAAAAGTCTTGCTAAAAGAAGCCAGTAGCAAATAATTGGCCTACTATGACAAAGATGGTTCTTAAACTCTGTAAGGATTTGTGGGAAATTATTTTTCACGAGGTATGTGCTAGTGGTCTCTTTGGTGCTTGCATCCCTCAGGAGGATATGTACATCCTCTAAAGTGTTCCTGGAGGTATTTGCTGTGAATTCATGCAAGAATTCACGAAGTTTAGCATCAATTTTCTTTAGCTTTAAGCAACTTCTCAGATGTATTTCACTTGCGTTATAAGTGTAAAAGGCAGTGGCCACTCAATGAACCTGGAGGGTGGGGGCTTGGATTTTATTTTTTTTTTCTTTTTCCCCACTGCTAAAGAGAAGGGCTTCCTCATGTAAAATGGCCAAAAAAACAGCTAAAGAAGAAAAGACAAAGCCTACGGGACATGCCACAAAGAGTCCTCTGAGAGGACCCAGTGGCTTAAGAAAGACCCTTTGAATGATCAATTCCCTTATGTTGTTCATTGATTTTCTCCTGGTTTTCCCTTATCTTTCCTTTCCTGTTGATATCTCTTTAATTGATTCCTGATTACAGATTACACCAGTTACAAACTGTTATTTGTCAAACAATGGAGCCAGGCTTCTCTCTGCGGCTTGGGGAAATGCATGCAGCTCTTGATAATTTCAGGAGGTTCAAACTGAACAAGCTGTAGAGAACATAAGATGATCTGGTGGTAATTGGTAAAGAAGGAGTCTGTACAGACTCTTCTTCAAGCAACTACCTTGTTTACACTCCCCGGCCTTTATACTGCTAGGAAATCCTGTATCCTGCAAGAATTACAATGCAGTGGAATCTGCAACTGAGTTCAAAATGTGCTTCTTGGACTCATTATCAACTCCAGCTCTGTTTGCAATGCTTAGCATATAAATTATTTAAATTAAACTAACTACATAAATTATTCAAGTTTTTTCCCCCCCTTATCTTTAACAGACACTGCAGAAAGTTCAGTGCTAGTGGTGTTACACTTCACTGCCAATCAGATAGGAATGCTAAAGGTGTCTCACAACATTGGCAGTGTCCAAATGACCATGAGACTCTTAGGAGGCAGCTACCAGAAGCTGAATGATAGTGACAATGGAACAGCTCACTACCAGTGATGGGCTGCATTCTGCTTACCAGGGTAAATAAGGAGGGAGTTACAAAGGGAATTACAGGAGGGATGGTTGTTCTGGAATGGGTGCAAGCGAATCCTGTTAAATGCTTTCTGTTTTGCTTTTGGATGCACCCAGGGCTTGTTGCTCCTGCTATGGGGAACCTGAGGTGGTCAACAGCCACACTGTGAGCAAGCCTAGTGCAGTGTCAAGGAACTCTCCTCTTACGAGGCATCATCCTGAGCTGGGTCCCTTCTCCCCTGGTGAAGTACTTACAAGGATGAACAGGATTGTGGTCTTGATCTCTACTGTCTTCCCCTGTCCTGTCATCTGCTGTATCAGCTTCATAGCCAAAGTCCAAAGTGGTTAGAATGAAGCTCTGACTTGAAGGCATGTGCAAGCAGACTGTTTCTTTAGGGCCTCAGCCAGACATCTGGTTTAGGTGCCTGGAGTAGACAGGTATGGCTCCCAACTCCAAGAGAGCAATAAACTAGAGAGCCTGCTTTAGAGGGAGGGCTGTCAAAGTCTGGTTCCTAGGCATCATCAGAGAGTCAGCAATGAAGTGTAATTATAATAGGAAACCTGAACAGAGCCCTTAGTTTCAGTGGAACCTGTCTGAATTATCCTTTATACACAGATCTTTTCTTTCATGCTTTATTATTGCTATTCTCTTTATTTCACATTTCAAATATGATTTAAGAAAGCAGCCTCCACCAGGTCTCCTGATTTTGCTCTGATTGATTTGTAAATCTGTGAAGACATGGTTGAGTTAGATTTCTGACTATGCCCAGACATTTTGATACATCACAGCTCTGGGGTTTGCAGGGGTCATATTTCAGCTATAAGGAAACAAACAAATTCTTTTGTTCGTCATAGTCCCCATGGACCATCCGTGTGATGGTTCAATACTTGTCTAAACAATACAAGACAAAATCCAAGATATTGATGGCTACCTGTTTAGTCTTGAATTAGTGTAGCTATCAAGGACTGATATCAATCCAGGGTGCAAGGGAGTAAGATAGAGAAATATATAATGAATATATTAACTCATTTGAAGAATATATGGATGGCCATGGCATGAACCTTGTTGAAGGGAGAGGGCAGTACAGATCATATGGCAGGAGGACATGACGTTAAGAGAGACCTGCTGAGGCATGTTGTGAAGTATCAGAGCAGCATCCCCTTCATCACATGGCTCAAACCATCCTACAGACCAGATGGCAGTACCACAGGAGAAGGGGTATGGCCTGTTTTGCCACTTCAGTGAATTTGAACCTGCTAGAAAGGCAGGCTCAAGGCTCAAATGACTTGAGTGTGATGGAGGGAGCAGACTGCCACCCTTGTGATTTCGCAGTAAGTCTCATGATACTTGGTGTTTTCCAATTACCCACAGCCTTTATGAGCATTTGTGTATATAACAGCCTGATTTTCTTTCATTTAAGAAGACTAAAGATTACATCTTGATCACAGAGTTGTGGAGAATGGCTGGCAAACCTGAACCCTTAAAGAACAGAAGAGCAGAAAGAAAACAAAATTACTCAAAGTAATCCTTAAAAACCACAGCAGAACAAAAATAATTTTAATCCATTCTCATGATTCAGGGCAAACAGGGAGAACAGACTCTTCTATCTCATTTTTCAGCAATTTGGGGTTGCTGAAATACAAGTGGGTGAGAGGTATGTCATATTCATTAAAGATGGATGTGGCATGCTTCTTTCTTTTTAGGCCACCAAGAGATGACATTCTGTGTGTGGTGATAACTAAGAGGATAAGACGGTGTTTCTATTGGTTTCATGCTTGCCTGTATTGGACTAGATAGATGTAATCACCCTGGAGATACTGTATTTACTTCTCCTTCCTTATTTACTTTGTTTCTTTTATTTCACTTTAGGGGACTAGGCTGGAATTGACATTTCTTTCTCTTCAGCAGCCGCCTCCTCTCTCAATGCCGGGTCTCTGGGCACTGAGTTAAGCCAGACAGTGGAATGGACCTGCTGTAAATAGTGTTGATAAATTGGGTAGATAACACAGCGTGGCCTGGTTTACCCCAGTGCACAGAGTAATAAAAAGGAGCTTCCACCTCTGAAAGGTCATTGTATCGACAAGGGGAACGATTGTGGGAATGGCAGTTGTGAGACGCTTGTCACTAAAGCCATTTTTCCGCAGGAGATGCTGAAGGGATTATGCCTAGGCCTTTTCCTCCCTACCCTCACCCCTGAGGTCGTCTGATTTAATGGTGCTGAGTGTGACCACGGAGCTGAGTATCCCTGGTGCAAACAGGTCTGAGCAGCAAGGTTCCCAAAAACTGTCATGAACCAGCTACGCTCAAAATGGCCAACTACATGGGAGCTTTTCCAACTTGGCCAAATGGGGTAGACCCCCCCACCCCCCCCCCCCCCCCCCCCCCCATGCTTTGTTACCTCATCCTGTGTAGCCAGGAGGCCTTAGTGAGAGGGATGGGATGGGGCTACCGATAAGCCACAATTTTCCCTAATAGTTCAGCGGTTTCATGTGGCAATTCAAAAACAGTCCCTTTTTATTCTGTGTTTCCATATCTCAATTCATACAGGGGAGAGATATAATAGCCAACAGACAATTCACCCACTAGACATCACTGAAACATAATTTTGGAGGTGCCAGATCACTTGTGGGTCACAAATGTTGAGAAGAACTTGTGTCATGTGCATCCATCACACAGCAGGCACAATGGAGATCAGCCAAAGGAATAGCTCCATTGAATAATTAGGAGTCTCAGACCACTTTGAGGAAACCTACACCCAAAAAGCTGGTCCTGAAAAACCATGCCTTCCCCTTTGAGCAGTCAGAGCAATGTTGTGTATTCAAAAGCACCAAATCAGAGATGATAGAACAGAGAGAACAGTGGTGTTGACATGTGTCTACAAAAAACAGCAAATGGAATAATCTGTGAAGCCTTGCCTAGACTTGCAGTCCTCTTCATGTCACAACACTTTTAAACAGCTTTCCAATTAACGTACCCAATATCAGGACTGGATATTCAAGTCTAATAAGGTCTCATTGAAAAGCAAGGCATACAGCCTACTGACTGAATGCAATGGCCCATGCCAATTGGCACCAGGATGTGATATGATTATATAATAACTGCCATTCTGAGTCATACAGAAGGTTCATGTAGTCCAATAGCCTTCCCTGACATTGGCCAGTAGACCATGCTTAGGAAAATCTATCAGAACAAAGTGCCTGTTCAATGATTTTTGTCCCAGTTGTTCTTCCAGCCTCCAGCACTCCAGAGCTTATGGGATTCCTAAACCAAATTTGTACATAAAGCACTTTGTACATCAATAAGAAAGTATCCCTACAGTGAAGGTATTGCTGCTTGGCCAGGAAAAACATTTGCTCTCCCCAAGGAAGCTAAACAAGTATGACAAAGTATTGATTCTATCATTTTATTTCAAGAGTGATGCCCATGGTGTATTAGGAAAGGGAGCATTTCTACAGTAGAGTTTCTTAGCTCTATAATGTATTGTGCTGCCCTAATGATATTACACCAAAGGTGGTTTTCTGAATGGGAGGAGCAATCGGTTTTGCCACATTCTCTGTCTTTTGACTGTTTGCTTGGCTACAATATTGGCTTAATAGTAGATTCCAGCAGCACTTGTGGCCTGCTCCCAGCTAAATGTTGAACTCTCTGTTGAGTTTTTTATAAATGAGAATGAGGTTTTGGGGACATTCGTATTTTGCATTGAGAATTGGCCTATAAAGAAGACTAGAGTTTGATGGATCATCAATTTGTGTCATTTACTACCATTCCAAATGCAAAGTGACATGGATTTGGAAACCTCAGCTAGATGGGGAACTGTGGGGAAAGGGCCAAGTTTGGCCAGAGTGGGAAATTGTAATACCTTGGGAAGATGACAGCAAACTGGCTCAGGGGATGTCTAAGCAAGACCCAAATGATGCCCTTTGAAAATGCAATCTAATTATTTAATACCCCTGTTCCTGGAAAGTGGTGTCATGAAGCCCAGAACGGCAATCCTTGCTTTGGCCACACAGCACAGTCTTTCAGGGAGGCAAGACCAGATCATTAGGTGGCAAGAGTTGTGCTCCTTGCAAGAAGCTGGTCCCCATCCAGTTCTGACAGTCTCAGACAGCCTGTGCCATCTGGCTGGGACAGCTCCCCAAACACACAGCAAAGCCTTTCTCAGATCCCCAGCCACATGGAGGGAATATTTCAGAGGGCTGGAAACGGTGGTCACTGTAAAGTGTAGTAGCTTTTGGCTCCAGTGGCCACTTTGTCACAGATGTTGCTGAGGTCCGTTGTGATTTCTAGGCACTTCCGGAAAGCAAGAAATGATTCAGTAATCACAAAATAAAAGCAGAAGCAGAAAACCACCCCCGTAATGATTAATGTACTCCCCCTCCCCTGCCCCTGAATGCAAAACACTCCCCTATATCAGCAGGATGACCTGGACCTGAGTTCCTCTGAAGTGAAGTTAGTTTGGTTCAGTCTTGCAGGAGGCTCTGGGCTCTGACTGACGATGGGAAGAGAAATAATAGGGCCCTCAGCAACTCACCCTCACCTTAGCCTCGTCCACTGGGCAGGTATGGGCTAATGCCTTCAGCTCCTATTGCTAAGCAAGTCGGGGTTATAAACATGATTTTCATAATTGAGTTTTAACATACATAGAAACCACCCAGCAGCGATAATAGCTTTGCACCAGAAGAGCCTTAAGACAGAGGAGAACAGCTTCTCTGAAGTGTTAAGAATCCCAGCACATTTATCTTAATAAGTTTTATTACAGCCTGCCAGTTTAAACCTAATGACTAATTTATCGTATAAAATACCAGCAATGTATTTTTTGATTTTGCTAATTAATTATCTCAAACAAAGGTGGTATTTATAAAACTGTCCAGAAATGGTATGTGCATTAAAATTGCCTTGCAGCAGGAGATGAAATTATTACTAATATGCGATCAAATTATTACTGTATTGACTTAGTTACTTTATTACATCATAATGGATTTCTTCATTATTTTCCCCGGGATTGTAGCATTCATGATTGCATTAAAGTCTGTTAATCTATGCAAATATCATTAGGAGCTACTAATAACCACGGCAACTTTTTTCAATTTCAAGGAATGTGGTAAGTACTCTCAACACATTGTTATGTTCTGTTAGTGTGATGGTATTAACTTAGTCCCTGAGTCCTTGGGACAGTGGGTGAGCAGCAGATCCCTTTAAGCCTTTTCTTCCTTAAGGATAGATGAGGTAGAAGGTGGGAATTTGTTCTGCTTAGGAGGTGGGACGAGGGGCACCATACTCAGCTCCACCACTCTAACCCTGCCTGATGTCAACCGAGTCACCTGTTAGTTTGCAAAAGGGCCATGTCATATAACCTCCCCCTTTTTTTCCAGCCCTGCTATCTATCTTCCAAAGCAACAGCCCATACGTGAGCACGTGTTTTCAAACTACAGTGGAAAACAGTTATTTTCTAAAGGTCAGGTGATGGGGTGGTGGCTTTTCTACATGCAGGACAAGGCAGAAGCAAATGGGGTATGTGAATTTTCGACATTGGGCACAGCTTTTGAGTATCCCGTGTGTGATCTAATGCCTTCACACTGATGTTTCAGAGGTGCTCAGCGAACCATTTTCAAGAGGGCTGAGTTTGCTGCAGAGCTGTGTGTGTCTGTGTTTGTATCAAACACTCAAAAAAAAATGCAGACAAATATTAAGCCTT